ATTTGCCTGCAATGGTACTGCAGTTGAGCATCCAGAATATGGAGAATTAATTCAGCTACAGGGTGACCAGTCCAAGAATGCCTGCCAGTTCTGATAGAGCCTGTACTGACTAAGGACCATCAGCTCATAGGATTTAAGTGCTTGTGGCTCCCTGAAGCTTGAGGATTTCATTGTAAGGAGTAGAATTTCCCTTCTGTCCCTTGTTATAAGTTTAAAAGCCTCCCTATCTGGTATAATGTAACAATTTGGGGTCTGCTTCTAACCTGGACTAGTATAACTCCTTCATGTAATAAACTGAAAGGACTAAACACAAATCCCCAGTTTCAGGCTTGGGGAGATGATTCGATGGGTAAAGTTCTTGCCATCCAAGCATGAAAGCATGAGTTTGAATCCCTAGAACCCACATAATTCCAGAGCTCCTATGGGGAGATGGGACTCAGAGATAGGAGAGTCTCCAGAAGCTCACTGGTCATCTGGCCTGGCTTATGCAGTGAAAACAAACAGGGCTGGAGAGATGGTTCAGTGGTTAAGAACACTGGTTGCTCTTGCAGAGGACCCAGGTTCAATTCTCAGCACCTACATGGTGGCTAACGACCATCCATAACTCCAGTTCCAGGGAAATCTGATGCCCTTTTCTGACCTCCATGGGCATTACATGACACAGGTGTACTTACATAGATGCAGTCAATACACATAAAATAAAAATAAACAAGCAGAAACACCCAGAGACCCTGTTTCAAGCAAGGTAGAAAGTGAGGACCAACACCTGAAGTTATCCTCTGATGTCTATAGGTGCATCATGGCATGCACACATGCACCTGTATACACATGAATGTGCCCCTCTCCACACACACATGCACACACACACACACACACACACAGAGGCACACACACACACACACACACACACACACAAAGATTTAAAAAAAAACAATTTAAAGTGATAAGAATCAGACATGCAAACTGAAGGAATTCCAAAGAATTAAAATGACTAAACTCAGGTTTTCAAAAATAATGGCATTTATTTTAGTTTTGGTTATTTTGCTCAAGGAGTGAAAAGGGAGTTAATCTGGAAAATACAATTAATGCTGATCAAAGTGGCTTTTAAATTTCTATACTGAAAAATGACAAAAAGGCAGAGTGGGCAGGAATAAGATATGAGTTATTAAACAAAAGGTAAAAGGTCAATAACATTTTCTGGCCCTGGATGGTTTACCTTTTGCTGAGAATCAAATTTGATGCAACTCTCTAGCTGACTCATTCTTTTGTGGACTGATAAGTAACATGTAGCAAAAGCAGGCTTTCCACAGTGTTGGATGATGATGCATTTAATACTGGAGTGCAGATTACAGGTGCCTGAGGACTCCATGTTCTTCCCTCAGCCATGCCCCCCCCGCCCCCCCGCCACCATGATCTCACTGGGAAACTGAAGGGAAGAGTATGCGTGGTCTGAGGAATGGGAGAAGGGCCTGCTTTGCAGAGCAGGTTTTCAAACTGCTACCATGTGTCCTTATTAAGAAAAAAAGTTAGCATGTATCCTATTTAATGTATTTATGTATTTACTTCTAAACCACACCAGTATGACCATGCATATTCTAAAACTTATATAAAATGAAGTTGTCAAGATTAAGCATGATAGTGAATTTTTTCTATGAACCCTGTTTATCCCCTAAATCAACGGGCTGAGGGACATAGGCTTCAGTCTCACCCATGGTTATGCAAAGGTGTCTTGCTTAAATGTGGTTGGTAAAGAAATCCTGCTTTTCCCTGGTTGCAGTCTGTCTTGCAAACTAATCAGGAGTTGTTGCAGAAAACAAACAAACAAACAAACAAAACATGAAAGCTAAGAAATGCTCCCATTGTAAGATTTAAAAAATAGATTAAGAAGCTATTACAGAATAGAGAGGTAGCAAACTTAAAAAAAAGGCTTTGCAACAAAATCTCAAAACCGTGGACACATGGGCAAACATTCTTCAGTGTTCTTACTATGGCTTCTACTGTCTATAACCTTTTGAAATGCATTTTCTTTTTTGTTGACTTATTAAAGTGTCACTTCTTGAAGGAATAGGTTATTTTTTTGAAAAAAGAAAACGTGGATTATTTTTTTGAAGAAAGTGTCTGATATAAACAGATACCTTCCACCCCAGAAGTCCCAGCACATTTGGAACACTTCTATTTTTATCAGAGAAAATTATGTAGTCCATGTTTGTTGGACAACTTTTAAAAAGTACTGTACCACAATATAACTAGTGTACCTCTTGATGTGGTAATGGTTTTTTATGGGATTTCTTGTCTCATTACAGAAGGTGTGAAGATCTGACCATACTGAAATGCTTACTTCTATGATATTAACCATGCTGATGGGCTAAAGTCCCACAGATCTCTGTGTGCCTTTGGCTTTAAGCTCTTCATTGTAGTGTCTCACCTACAGATGACAAGGCAAATGAATCTCATATGCAATGCCTGGCTTCAGGCTTCAAAAGTTCATTTCCTGGGGAGATGGCTCAGTGGGTAAGAGCATTTGCTATGCAAGTATTAGGACCTGAGTTCAAGTCTTCGGCACCCATGTGAAAAGCTAGGCATAGCTGCATGTGCCTGCAACACTAGCGTTGGGGGTTGTTGACAGGTGGATCCTGGGAGCTTCCTGGCCACCCTGTCTCAAAAGAATAAAGTGGAGCATGATAGAGGAAGATGCTCTCAGTCTCCACATAACTCATACATACATGTGCATGCATACCCTCACTGCAAAACTGAAACAAATAAAGAAACAAATCCTTCATCTGAGCTGCTTCCATTCTTGCCAAAAGTGTTGTTGTCTTTTTAATATTTTTGGTATATACATATTTTAAAAAATTTGTAATTCATTTTTGACAATTTCATATATGTTCCTAATATATTTTGATCATAATTACCCTTCCCCCTCTTATCCCACTTCCCATTCTATCTGGACCACTTCTTTTCTTTTCTTTTGTATATTTTATTATTACCAGATAAAATCTAGTGCAAGATGAGGTGGTGCACACCTGTAATTAAAGCACTTTGGAGGCTGATTCAGGAGAATGATGAGTTCAAGGTCAGCCTGGGATACATTGTTGAGACCCTGTCTCAGAAAACCAAGGATTATGGGGCTGGAGAGATGGTTCAGGAATTAAAAGCACTGACTGCTCTTGTAGAGGACCCGAGTTTAATTCCCAGCATCCATGTGGCGGCTAACAACTGTCTGTAACTCCAGTTCTAGGGGAATCAAACGTCCTCTTCTGACTTCTCGGGCATTGCATGACACAGATGCACTTACATACATGCAGGCAATACACTCATACACATAAAAATAATAAATAAAATATTTTAAAAATCATAAAAAAAATTCCCCTCCCTGCTCCTGGAAATCACCTTCGGCTCTAAGTGTTCTTCAGGCAATACACTCATACACATAAAAATAATAAATAAAATATTTAAAAAATCATAAAAAAATTCCCCTCCCTGCTCCTGGAAATCACCTTCGGCTCTAAGTGTTCCGTATTACTGGAACCATTCAGTGCTGCTTTCTGTCTAGCTCATTTCACTGCAGATGTGTTGATGAGATTCATTTAGGCTGTGGCATGTGTCAGAAGTTCCATACTTTTTCAGGTGGAATGACATTCCATTGTATGTATGTGCCACATTGCATATGTTCACCCATTTGTTCATAGATACCTCTGTCTGCTATTTTTAAAGGGACAGGCAGAGGCAGCTGGAGGTGCATGCAACTGGCAAGGAAGTTGGTTAGCATGCCAGTGGGCTGCATGCCCACTGTGATCATGTGACTAGAATCTTTGACCTCTGTGTCAGAGAGGCAATAGAATGGTCTTGTGTCCTCAGTGTCCTCTGGACAAAAGTGGATTATGACCTTGTTTTAGCCTCTGAGACAAGCGGTGAATTATAGCAAGACTTTTCATGTTTATGTCGCCCCTCTGTGGCTTTCTGAAACATTCTGACTGTGGGATGACCAGGGGAAGTCTGAGGTGGTAGATGTTCTTTATGTGTGGAAACTACTGTGGAGGAATAAAGGTGGAGATTTATGTATATTTGTTTGTATATTTATGTTTATCACATATATGTATCATACACACATGTATAATTTGAATGTGTATTTCAAGGTATTTTTATTTTGTCTCATGTAATTGCTACATGTGGTATAATTAACTTGGTCTTCTTTTTGTTGTGGTAAAATATACATAAGGCTACTGTTTGGACTCTTTTCAGTATGTGATTCAGCTGCATTGATCACACTTATACTGAGCAGCATTACCACCATCCATTTTCAGGATGTTTCTTTCTCTTCCCAAATAGAAATTGTGCCTCTATTAAAACAGCAATTCCAGTTCTTAGTAACTCTGTTGTGTTCTCTCCATGAATTTGACTGTATAAGCACTTCATATAAGTGAAATTACACAGTTTCTTTTGTGATTGGCTTATTTCACTTAGTGTAATGTCTTTAAGGTTCATCCATGTTGTAGCACGTGGCAGAATGTTACTACTGAATAATATTTCATTGCATTATCTACCCCACTTGGACCGGCCATTCATAGAGTGATGGATGTTAGGGTTGTTTCCTCCCTTTGGCTGCTGTGAATAGGGCTGCTGTGTACATGGATATTAAATATTTATTTGAGTCCCTGTTTCCAGTTCTTTCAGATACTCGGAGGTCAAATTGCTGAGTGTTATATTTTATCTTTTGAGGGGCTTCCATCCTGTTTTCTGGGGGAGAATGTTTTGGATAGTGTCTCTTCTGTATTCCTTTTTTAGGGGTGTGCTGGGAATAGACTCCAGGGTGTGGTGTGTGCTAGGCCAACACTCCACCACTGATCTATACCCAACCCCTTCTTCATTCTTTTTATATCTCTTCAGCTTTCTTAATTATTTTGCTATTTCCACAATATTGATATCTGGACAGTGGGCCACAGAGGGCTTTTGGGCTGGTGACAGACCTCATGTCCTAACTGCTTTTGTTTCTATTGCAGATGCGGGAGCCATGGAGCTGAGCTGCAGTGAAGTGCCTCTTTACGTAAGTCCCTAAGCACTGGGCTTTAGGTCCAAGTGGTCTTTTCTTTATAAACCTTGTGCCTGTGGTGGGGAAAATATTTTGCTTACTATTAAGTTGAGACTTTTAAAAAACACATGGAGCAACCAGGCATGATGGTGCATGCCTTTAATTTCAGCACTCGGGAGGCAGGGGCAGGATCCATCTCTGAGTTTGAGGCCAGCCTGGTCTACATGGTGAGTCCAGGCCAGCCAGGGGTATATATAGTGAGACCCTGTCTCAAACAACAACAACCTGTCCAGTTCATGTGTTTGCATGGAGTCTTTTATGATCTGGCTCCTGTTTCCATAGTCTAGGCTATTTTGTCCACAGAAAGATGTGGAAAGAGCCTCTTGATACATGATGAAACATATGTATAAATTAATTTAAAAGAGCTCATTTGATAAACATAAAGTTCTATTAAGTGAAACATGACATTTTTTGTGGAATATAAAATGCGTGTTATAACTGATGGTGTTCGAGTTTAGATAAAATGCACTAAGTATGTTTAACATAGCTGACTCTTCGTATCTGTATCTAGAACTATGTATCCGTGCTGTATCCTGCTTCTTTCACTTATTTATGTCAAAATTATTGCACACTGACCTAAGCTAATCTGGATGTTTGGCCTCAACCAGTAAGAAGGCAGTAGGGTATGTTACAATGGAAACTAGTCGTAAACCAAGTTTCAGTAAATGAGCAACTTGTATACCGTGTAAACACAAAAGCGATGCTGAAGTTTGTTTCTGTCTTGGGGGAGTACCTCCTCTCTGCCCTTCTATCTTCAGAGGTTTGATCAAAACAGTCGGTGTTCTGTGTCTCTGTCTGTGGATTGTGTATCCATGGATTCAGCTAACTCCAGATCATAAACGTTTTTCTTCTGGTTATTTTTATAATTTTTTTAGAGCAATCATTGAGAGTTTAGGGTGTATTGCTGTATATGCATAAGTGCACCCATGTTGTGCAGTGCCTGCAGAGGTCAGAAGAAGGCATTGGATTCCCCTGTCCCAGTTATGCTGGATGGTAGTTAGCTGCCATGTGGGTGCTGGGAATCAAACCCCAGTCCTCTGCAAGAGCAGCCAGTGCCCTTAAGCACTGAGCCATCTCTCCAGCCCCATAAAATTTTTTCTTGTCATTATTCTCTAAAAAGTAAAATATGGCCACTATTTCTGTAGCATTTGTGTGATCTCATGATTAGTAAATGATATGGAGATGACTGAAAGTGTTTGGAAGGATGTGTGTAGGCTTTAATGTAGACACTATGCCATTTAACGTAAAGCACTTGAGCATCCATGGATTTTGGTATCCACAAGAGGCCTGGAACCAATGCCCTGTGGATGCCAAAGGGCAAATGTCTTCACATATAGTTTCTACTAGTTCATGATATTTTGGTGTATAAAGGCTTAATATTTTTCTTATTTATATGTGTTATAATTTGTACACACGTACAAATTAGAAATAGAGTAAGTCAAGACTGGAGAGATGGCTCAGTAGTTAAGAGCACCGGCTCCTCTTATGGAGGATCTGAGTTCAATTTCCAGCATCCACATGGTGGCTAACAACCATCCCAACCCCAGTTCCAGTGATCCGATGCCTTCTTCTGGCCTCCTCAGGGATCGCATGACATGGGTGCACTTACACATATTCAGGCAATATACTCATCAATTGTGGGGCACTTAGGTTGCTTCCATCTCTTAGCTATTGTGAAAAGAGCAGCAACAAACGTGGTTGTACAAGTGTCTCTACAATAGGATGAGTCCTTTGGGTATATG